AATAAGAGATTGCTCACCGAAGGCGAACGCCAAATCCAGGAGGATATCCGGCTTGACAGCAAAATGCTTCTGGACAAAATGGTAGCTGATGGCTCGAAGGAGCGGCAAAGACCGGAGATTTTGTTGGGCTAAGACGACGGCAAGCCTCCGGATGTCCTCGGGAGAGAAGTGGGCAGCTAGCTCCAGGCTCTGCGGGGAGGAGATCCGTTTAGCGTCGGGGGCAGGGGGGACCACGGGTGGGGGGGGGGGGAGAGGCAGGGAGATGGTGGGGGGGGAATGGAGGATTATGAAACGTCTGCAAGGAACCACCCAGCTCAGAGAGCACCAAGGACCCCACACTCCATCTTTCCTTTCTTCCTGCTTCCTTCCCTTCTTTCCTTCCATCCTTCCTCCTAGCACTGAAGATGTTCCCTAGTTGGGTCATAAAACATCTGCAGGAAAACCACCCAGCTCAGAGACCACCAAGGACCCCACAGGCCTCCTCCTCCTTCTCCCTCTTCCTCCTCCTCTCCAGAAATCCCACATCTTCACAGCACCGATGGCCGTCACCTAGTCGGGCCACCAAAATGTTCATCAGAAAAGACCGCCCCCTGCTCCGGCTTACCTTATCCTCCAGCCGCTCCCGGAGTTGTGGCGAGAGGTATTCCTGTTTGGCCATGAGCAAGGCAATGGTGTGGGCATCTTCAATCTCGGCCCAACGCATCTCCAGCTGGGCCAAAAGCTCAGTCAGCAGCTCGTGGGGTTTCTCCCTAGGGACGTAGGCAGCCAGGGAAGCGGCCAGTGAAGCCAGGCGCCGGTAGGAGAGTCCGCGTAGGCGCCAGCGCAGCTCCAGCTCGGCCGAGCACAACTCCTTCTGCTGGGGGCTGACCCCCAAAAAGTAAAGGCTCTTGAGGAGGTTGATCAATGCTGGGTCATGGATCCGGGAGGCCTGTGGGCCGAAGAGCATCAATGTATTTCTTTTTTTATTTATTTATTTACTTTTCTCCGGGGCATCCTTGACTTACGACAGCTCGTAGAGCAACCGAAGTGGTGAGATGGGATTGGGGGGGAAAACAGGACCGAGCCTACCTAAGGCAGGACTAGAACTCACTGTCACCATGTGATTGGCCCAAAGTCACCCAGGTGCCCTTTATGCTAAGATGGAACCAGAACTCCCAGTCTCCTTTTTCAGGATGAAAAAGGCATTTGACAGGGTTGAGACTTCCCATCTAAACCCAGCCACATATCTAGACCTGACTTCTCCCGGCCTGGAGAGATAAGCTACCAGGACCTCCAGCAGGTTCTGACTCAAAACCCACCTCCTTGTACGTGTGATGGAGCAGCTGTTGAAAACGTTTATCCTTCAAGATATCCTTATGGTCCAGTTTGAGCTGCGAGGCCAGATGGGATAAGCGTGTGATCAGGAGGGCGGCCTGGTTCCCGGTGATGTCGTGCAGATGTTCCGGAGCGAGGAGCTCCTCCACGCTGGATGACACCATGATGAGGTCATCCCACCTGGGGGACTTCTCCGGGGTTTTGCTCTCCAGCTCCTTCACGGAGAAGCGGTCGGCCACTTGCGAGAGGTTGTAAGTGGTCCTCAAGGCGAAGGGAGGCCTGTTGGACCATGGGGCCTGGGACAACGGGCCCGCTTGGTGGCCCAAGGGAGAGACGGTTCTGTAAAGCCAACACCAGCGGTGCATCAGCCTGGCCGCCATCTTGCTGGGAAGTCTGCAGGGAAGAGGGGAGGGGAGGGAAAGCAGAGGATGATCGTTGCTGGTTCCTTGATTATCAACACGGGGAAGGCAAACTCTTTGCGTATAAACAGAGAGCAAACTCCCAATTCCTCATAGAACTGATGAGGTTCCCTAGTTGGGTCATGAAATGTCTGCAAGAAACCACCAAACTCAGAGAGTACTAAGGTCCTTCCTCCTCCAACCCCATTCCCTTCTACTGTTGATGACGTTCCCTGGCTGGGTCATGAGATGGCTGCAAGGAAGCCACCCGCAGAGAGCATCAAGGACCTCACAATTCCCTCCCTTCCTTCCTTCCTTCCTTCCTTCCTTCCTTCCCTTCCCTTCCCTTCCCTTCCCTTCCCTTCCCTCCTTCTAGCCCTGATGGTGTTCCCTGGTTGAATCAAACAGTGGCACACCCAATCAAACAAACATAAATATTCTCAATCAGAATAGAGCTGGGAGGGACCACGGAGGTCTTCTAGTCCAGTGGTCGCCAACCGGTGGGCCACGGTCCACTGGTGGGCCATGAGAAAATTTTGGTGGGCCGCAGAGTAATCTCACCCCCAGAGCACCCCCCCCAAAGCAATTAATCCAGGCTGCGCAGAAACACAAGGCTGCGCCACTCACATGGCCCCCGGGAACCCTCCCCGCTCACTCACTCCTTACCCAGCAAACTTACCTGCTAAGTTGCTATTTTCCCTTTTTCCGACCATCATCTGTTCTGCTGTGCTGGGAGATTTAGATTAGCTAGGAAGCAGGAAATGGTTGGATTTCTTGCTTTCTAGCTAGTCTTGAGATCTTCGGCTCTGCTTTTAAGCACAGCCGAACCTCCCTTAGGACTGAAGGTTCTAAGGCTCACGGCAAGCAAATTTTATGTGACAGACTGAGTTAGCTGATGGCAGATAGATAGATCACTGAATGATTCTGTGAGCAACTCAATCTGCCTGCCTGCTTTGCCTGATTTTGGGTAAAAGTTGCTTTTTTATAAAAAATATATATCAATATTTACATACATGGTGTGTTGTGAGTTAATTTTATGAGTTTGCTTGCAAGCAAATTTTATGTGACAGACTGAGCTAGCCAATGGCAGATAGATAGATCTCTGAATGAATCTGTGATTCTATGAGCAACTCATTCTGCTTGCTTTGCCTGATTTTGGGTGAAAGTTGCTCTTCTTTAATTAAAAAAACCCAATATTTATATAAATATTTATATTATTTACATACAAGCCATGCCCAGCCAGTCACATGACCAAGGCACACCCACAAATTAGGCCACACCCAGAGAACCGGTTGGTGGTCCCCGGGATTTAAAATTATGAGTTTGGTGGTCCCTTAGGCCCAAAAGTTTGGCGACCCCTGTTCTAGTCCAACCCCACTCAAGCAGGAGATAATGTATTATTTCTGATACAAAGACACCTCATTTCAACCCTAACCTGCAAATATTTGCCTTTAGGGACAAGTGACTGTCCCGTCTCTTCTTGAAAACCTCTAGTGTTGGAGCATCCATGACTTCTAGTGGCAAGCAGTTCCACTGGTTAATTGTTCTCAGTGTTAAGAAGTTTCTCCTTAGTCTAGGTTGCTTTTCTCCTCGATGAGTTTCCAACCATTATTTCTTCTCTTGCCTTCTGGTGCTTTTGGAAAATAAATTGACCCCCTCTTCTTTGGGGCAACCTCTCAAATGCTGGAGTGCTGCTCTCATGTCCCCCGTACTCCTCCTTTACTCTAGATTGGCCATACTCAATTCCTGCCACTGTTCTTCCTATGTTTTACTCTCCAGGCCTTTCATCATCTTAGTTGCTCTTCTCTGCCCTTTTCCCAAAGTCTCAACCTCTTTTGGGGGGGGGGGGGGGGGGGTGACCAAAACTCGATGCAGGGCTCCAGGGGTGACTTTACTAAGTGGTAGTGATACTTCATGTGAGTTTCTATGCCTCTGTTTATACAGCCAAGGATTGTCTTAGCTTTTTCGGCTGCCGTCGCATACGGCTGGCTCAAGTTTAAGTTGTAATCCGCTCGGACTCCAAGGTCCATCTCGCAGTTAGGCCAGGTTTCACCTAATCTAACCAAAGGTGCAAGGACTCATAACCAACATATCGTAGGACGAACCTGATAACAGATTTTGGACAACAAAGAAAGGTAAGAAGGCATTTCATTTCAGCCCTATTGGGTTGAGTAGGATCTCCTGCTCAAGCAGGGGGTTGGACTAGATGACCTCTGAGATCCCTTCCCATTCTGTTATTCTTTAAAGGTGTCCTGCTCAAGCAGGGGGGTTGGACTAGTCACTAGAAGATCTCCAAGATCCCTTCCAACTCTGCCATACTGGAAGAGTCTCCTGCTTGAGCAGGGGGTTGGACTAGATGACCTCCAAGATCCCTTCCAAATTTGTTATTCTGGGATTCTGTAAAGGGCTCCTGCTTGAGCAGGGAGTTGGACTATATGACCTCCGAGATCCCTTCCAACTCCGTTGTACAGATAAAATAATAATTCTTCATATTTACTACATTTGACAATCTTATATAGTTTTAGTAATACTACACATATTTTGTTGGATTAGAATCTTTCATTATTTGATTATTTGATATTTCAGTATGTTATTTTTATGCCCATCTCCATATTCTACATATCACTCCTCTTACTACAAAAAAAAACATGAATAATCGTATCTGTTGTATTTAACAGACATATATTTCTAACTAGCTCAATTCCCGTACTTCGCCACGAAGTTATGTGGTCAGGCTGTTTTGGGGGAGGAAAATAAGGAGAAAAAAATTCTGCTTCTGCCTACCAGCATCCATTGGTATTCATCTGGCTAGCGTCCTGTCAGCGTATGATGTTGAGGGCTGTTTGGAAACTGAAAGGGTATTTGCTGTGTGAGCAAGGACAGCAAGGAGCTCAACTATTGTGTACTAAAGCTGGTTGCTGCTGTGAAACTGAAACGCCTCTGCTTGTGTTTTGCATTTGGAAGAGATTTTTTTTCAGGTGGGGTGGGGGAATAGAACTCCTTAGCATCAGAGCATGTTAATAATAATAATAATAATAATAATAATAATAATAATAATAATAATA